GTCCAGAAGCATCCTCATTTTCCCCACATTGAAGGATCATTTTGTGGATAAAAAAAAAATCCAAATCAAGAGACTTAAGTCCCAGTCAGAAATTTCTCCTGGAACATACCTACGCGTGTCTGCCATGTTTTAGAAAGAAAACTCTACATTATACGTCACTTGATGTACTGTCCAATCCCATGCGTGTGGTTGCGAGTATGTCTGAATGAAGCCTTGAGGAACATTAACCTATGTGACCTATGTCTGAATGTCAGAAAGTTGTCGCTTTAACAGACCGATGAAGCAGCAATATTACATTATATGTCTGAAAAGGGTATCATACATTTCTACAACACGTTTAAATTCAGCATGGCCTTTTTTGTGTCTATCACATATCATATCAGTAAAAAAAATAAACAACTGTTACTATACTATATATCAGTAAAGAAAATAAACAACTGTTACTATACTATATAATGTGTCCTTGTGTCCTACATACTGAATGGTTCAGTTCAGTTTTAAAGAGAAAGAGAAGGGCACTGGCGTGAATGGATGCCGTTTTAGCCAGAAGCCATGCTGTCTTCAATGCTTGTGTGAATTAAACATGTGTTGAGCTCTTACAGAGACCTGTTATTCAGAAATGCTTTATATGAGGCCGCCACGCGTTTAGAATAAAGAAGATGCTCGGTGCAGTGTTCACGTGGTGGCCTGCATCTCTCTGGGAGTGTCACTTGATTTAACTGAAAAGATGCAACCCAGCAGGACGAAAGAAAGAAAAAGAAAGCAGATCATCGAAAAACAGAGTCATAAATTCCAGCACTTTACACATGATACTACAAGATGCTGTTCTGGTGGCAGTTTTCTACCAACAGAATCCAAAATAATCTCAATTTTGTGTCTAAACAACAGGTTGGTGAGGCGAGATTAAGATTTCAGATTAGTATTTAGCTCAGATTAAAATACAGCAGGGAAAGATTTGTCCATCTGCGCTGCTGGAAGATCACACTACACAACAGTTTTTTTTTTTTTTT